ACAAACTGGGAGGGAACTGTGATGGACTGGGAGTGAACTGGGAGGGACTGGGATGAACTGGGACAAACTGGGAGGGAACTGGGATGAACTGGGATGAACCGGTGGGACCAGTGAGGGACCAGTGACACCAGTAAGGGACACCAGTGACACCAGTGACACCAGTAAGGGACACCAGTGACACCAGTAAGGGACACCAGTGACACCAGTAAGACAGACCAGTGACACCAGTGGGACCAGTAGGGGACTGCAGTGAGAGGGACCAGCGCTCCCAGTGCTCCCAGTTCCCCCCCAGTTCCCCCCCAGTGCCCCCCCAGTTCCTCCCAGTTCCCCCCAGTCCCTCCCAGTCCATCCCAGTTCCCTCCCAGTGCCAGGCCGGGCTCTCCCCGCTGTCCCCGCAGAGGGACAAAGGGACAAAAGCGCCTTTGTGCTGGGATGGACTGGGGGGAACTGGGAGGGAACTGGGGGGGACTGGGAGGGGACTGGGAATGGACTGGGAGGGGACTGGGGACACCCAACTGGGATTTGGGGTCTGCAGTCCCTCCCAGTCCCTCCCAGTTCCCCCCAGTCCCCTCCCAGTCCCACCCAGTTCCCCCCAGTCCCCTCCCAGTCCCCTCCCAGTCCCCTCCCAGTCCCTCCCAGTTCCCCCCAGTTCATCCCAGCACAAAGGCGCTTTTGTCCCTTTGTCCCTCTGCGGGGACAGCGGGGAGAGCCCGGCCTGGCACTGGGAGGGAACTGGGATGGACTGGGAGGAACTGGGGGGAACTGGGAGGAACTGGGGGGGCACTGGGGGGGACTGGGAGGGAACTGGGAGGGACTGGGGGGTCCCTGGGGGTCACTTTGGGGTCACCTGGAGCCCCCAAATCCCTGCCCAGGGACCCCAAAGTGGCCCTGGGGGTCCCGGTTTTGGGGTCCCGGTTTTGGGGTCCCGGTTTTGGGGTCCCGGTTTGGGGGGTCCGGGGCCAGTGCGGGATCCCCGAGAGGTTCGGGCAGAGCGGGGCCAGTCCCGGGTCCCGGTTCGGGTTCCCGGTTCGGGTTCCCGGTGCCGTTCTCAGGTGCCGGTGCCGCTGCTGCCCGGGACGTTCTCGGTGCAGTCCCGGTCCCGGTTCTGTCCCGGTCCCGGCGCGGTGCCAGTTCCGACACCGCAGCCCCGGAGCGGTTCCGGTGCGGTTCCGGTGCTGTGTCAGTTCTGATACCGCAGTCCCGGTGCGGTTCCGGTGCGGTTCCAGTCCCGGTTCCGGTTCCGGTGCTGTGTCAGTTCTGATACCGCAGTCCCGGTGCGGTTCCGGTGCGGTTCCAGTCCCGGTTCCGGTTCCGGTGCTGTGTCAGTTCTGATCCCGCGGCCCCGGAGCGGTTCCGGTGCGGTTCCAGTCCCGGTTCCGGTTCCGGTGCTGTGTCAGTTCTGATACCGCAGTCCCGGTGCGGTTCCGGTGCGGTTCCAGTCCCGGTTCCGGTTCCGGTGCTGTGTCAGTTCTGATACCGCAGTCCCGGTGCGGTTCCAGTCCCGGTTCCGGTGCGGTTCCGGTGCTGTGTCAGTTCTGATACCGCAGTCCCGGTGCGGTTCCGGTGCGGTTCCAGTCCCGGTTCCGGTTCCGGTTCCGGTGCTGTGTCAGTTCTGATACCGCAGTCCCGGTGCGGTTCCGGTGCGGTTCCAGTCCCGGTTCCGGTTCCGGTGCGGTTCCGGAGCGGTGCCAATGCCCGCAGTGCCGGTTCCGTCCCGGTCCCACCCCGGTCCCATCCCGGTTCCGTCCCGGTTCGATCCCTTGCTTCCCCATCCCTGTTCCACCCGGTCCCGGCCCGGTCCCATCCCGGTTCCGGTGCGCTTTAAATGCGGTCCCGGTTCGATCCCGGTTCCGGTGCGCTTTAAATGCGGTCCCGGTCCCGTCCTGGTCCAGTCCCTGTTCTAACCCGGTCGGATCCCGGCCCGGTGAGGTCCTATCCCGGTTCCGCTCCGGGATTGGTTAGCCGGTTCCGGTCCGGTTCGGGGGCGGTTCCGCTCCGGGATTGGTTGGCCGGTTCCGGTTCCGGTCCGGTTCGGGGGCGGTTCCGCTCCGGGATTGGTTGGCCGGTTCCGGTTCCGGTCCGGTTCGGGGGCGGTTCCGCTCCGGGATTGGTTGGCCGGTTCCAGTTCTGGTCCGGTTCGGGGGCGGTTCCGCTCCGGGATTGGTTGGCCGGTTCCAGTTCTGGTCCGGTTCGGGGGCGGTTCCGCTCCGGGATTGGTTTTCCGGTTCCGGTTCCGGTCCGGTTCCGGTCCAGTCCCGCTCCAGGATTGGTTTTCCGGTTCCGGTTCCGGTCCGGTTCGGGGGCGGTTCCGCTCCGGGATTGGTTGGCCCCGCGCCACCGGCCCCTCCCCGGGAGCCGCCGCTAAAAGCGAGCGGGACCCGCAGAGCCCCGGAGAGCGAGATGGGACACGGAGGGGGACACGGCAGGTGACAGAGGGGACACGGCAGGTGACAATGGGGACACGGGACAGGGGACACGGCAGGTGACAATGGGGACAGGGGACACGGCAGGTGACAATGGGGACACGGGGGACGGGACAATGGGGACAGGGCAGGTGACACACGGGGACGGGGGGGACATTGGGGACGGAGATGGGACACGGCGGGGGACACTGCAGGTGACACTGGGGACAGGGGACACAGGGGACACAGGGGACAGGGATGGGACACGGCGGGGGACAGAGCAGGTGACACAGGGGGGACACGGCGGGGGACAGGGGACAGGGATGGGGACACAGGGATGGGACACCGCAGGGGACAGAGGTGACAGCGACACGGGGGACACGGGGGGAACAGGGATGGGGACACGGCGGGGGACGGAGGAGGTGACACAGGGGACAGGGATGGGGACACGGCGGGGACACGGGGGGGGGGCAGGGACAGGGACAGGGGTGACAGAGATGGGACACGGGGGACAGAGGTGGGACAGCGACAGCGACAGGGATGGGGACAGAGGGGACAGGGATGGGGACACGGGGGACACAGGGACAGAGATGGGACACGGACAGAGGTGACAGCGACACGGGGGGACACGGGGGACGGAGGGGACAAAGACCCCGAGGGCGGGGGACAGTGGGGACAGCGGGGATGGAGGGGACACGGGGGGGACACAGAGGGGACCCGGGGGGGACCCGGAGGGGACAAAGGTGACAGAGGGGGGGAGGGGACACAGAGGGGACCCGGAGGTCCCAACCCGGGGGTCTCGGGGTGTCCCGCGTGAGGTTTTTTGGGGAGGGGGAGGTGACAATTCCCGGGGGGGGGAGGTGACAATTCCCGGTTGTCCCCGC